TGATTTGAACCCATGTTTTTGACACAAAAAGACTATGTCATATATCCCTAGAAGAACGGAACAAAATCATTTCAGGCTCGTCCTCAACTAAGGGTCAACAAATCAAAACATTCCTATTTTGATCATGGGGGCCCTACTGCTACTGTTTGTCCATTCTTTTGAAAACTGCCCTTCCTCTACCTTACCCAATTTTCCATAAATTGTGACTTTGATCTTCTGCCAAGGGGATGGAGAGGAGTACCCATGTGTGTGGACTTAGGTTGGATCCCAAACTTCAATGTCGTCATTTAGGGATTACCTTAAAGCGCTTGCCTTGCTTGTTTTACAAGGATATGGGGATTCATTGCCAACTTCGGCCAGTAGCTCGGGGGTCACATATCCCAAAGCTCCCAACATGCTATCGGGCGTAGATGAACTCCAGCTCTTGGTTCTTGGCGAAGGTCTTGAGGTCGGCAGAGAGTCCGCACTGTCCCAACGTTAGTCACCGGGGAAGTACCATTGGGTGGCACCGTAGAATGGGCCTTAGGTCGGTCCACGATTAATCACGTATCGAAACTAAAATGGATTGGCTAAGCTTCTAAGGTCTATTAAGGTGAGGGCTAATTAATCTCAACCGAGTAAAAACTAGCACATCTCTAGATGTAATGATGCGGCTTCAAAGGATTATATAAATGACACATAAAGCATAATGTAAAGCTGATGGGTTATTGGATTGAAGTGAAGGTAATATAATGTTAAAAATAAGAAACTAATAATCTCTTTTATAAATTATTTAAGATTTTTGTGAACTTTTTTGTAACTTCTTTTTTTATTTAAGAAGATTGTGATAAAGTAAAATGAAATGAATAATGTATAATTTTAAAATTTCAAGACTTATGAAGTTTCAAGATTGAAAAATGAATTAAATATCTAGATTTTTGTATTAAATTATCTTAAAATAATTTTTATTATGAATAGAACTATAAATTAATTATTATCAGATTAAAATTTAAACTCAAATAACATAATTTTAAATGTCTGATGATGATTATATATTAATGTATACAATATGGATTGCAAGATAACATCAACATTCACTAATTTAACAAAGTGATTAATAAATTTGTTACAAAATTTTTTATCAAATAAAAGAAATTTTAAACTTTGGTTTTACAGATACAGTAGAACCTGTTTAAATTAATACGGCCTAAATTAATAACCTGTGATAATTATTATCTGCGGTCTAGTTTCAAGTCGGGCCCATACATTTATTATTAAACCTCCAAAACTTAATAATTAATTTATTAGTAATAAGTTGGTATAGTGGTTATCAATATAAAAAACTTTTGGGACCACTTGTGGAGTACAAATAATATAATCATTCCCTGACTTACAGAATTGTTATGCATTTCTTGAAGCCACTTGATCAAATCTGCTTGCATGAGCGATAGAGACTTCTTCTTGTGGTTACAAAAAGCTATAAGAATCTCGTTGATCATCTTAGTGTTGGTGGATTTCTTTGAAACCATTGTGTTCTGGTTTTGGTTCTGACTGCAGTTGTGGTTGTGGATTGTTGTTATTCTAGGTGAACGCCATGACTTGCAAATGTTACAAATGACACAAACGGCAAATTTTTTTATTGATACTCTCTTTATTAATATCCTGTCTAATTTAATAAAGAACTCTGATCCCGGCATTGTTTACTTAGACAGCTTCTAGTGTAGTGCCTAATAAGATAAAATTCAATATTGATAAAACATAAATATGATAGTAAGATGTAATAAGTTTGATAAACAAAATATGCATATTATTGTGTGATACATCCAATCATTGAAAAATTCTTGTTGAATATTGGGCAATTAAAGCTATGTGAAAATATATCTAATTACAAATAAAATGAATTTTGAATTATTTTGAAAAATTGAATGATGTTAAGAAATTAAAATTGTAAGAGACATGAAGTTCTTATGCTAGAGTTTGAGCTGGCCAAAAAAATTGAATGCAAATTTTTGAATGATAATCAAAGTATAAAATTCAATCAATAGATCTTGAATATCATTTTTTATCATACATTTATGAATTTTTCCAGTGTTGCAAATATAATAAATTACCAAGTAATTAATGATAAGAATGAAAAAGATAAATTTGCATAGGAGTTGATAAACGTTTTGTGGAAATTGATTTTTTCATTTTTTGATTGTATTAACATTTTTTTGAAGTGTTTTGAATGCGTTTTTTTTTTTATTATTCTTGAACTGAAATTAGTGGAGATAACCTTACAGAGGAAGATTATAATCATGAAAGTGAAAACTTTGACATTTTGAAGTATGATGAACGTTTCAATTGTGTCATATAACTACATACCGCAAAAAACAAGCTTAAAGCTAAAATATTTTCTTTTTATAATTTAAAGATCCACAATTCATTGTAGGGGATATAATAAATAATTTGACCTCCAAAAATTAGTTATAAACATTATTGTATCATATCTTTAGTTTTATGCCATCAACCAGTTGAATGAGTAGAAACATTGTGTTATTCATTGTCCTCATGGCAGTCATTTGCGTTAGACTTCAAATTATCTCGTCAAATCTGTTTGATGACATCATGACATTAATTTTTACGAAAATACATTCAGAAATTAACATTACTGATTCACCTCTACGAGTAGATGGATTATTCTGCAACGTCTGTCTTGCAATCACATCTCGTTCACAAGCGATTTGATATACCCTAAGTTTTCTTTTGTAAGATTTCCCATGTACATAAAAATCACGAAAGCCAAAATGTAAATCATCCCTTTTTCTTGCGGTCGTAGCTTCGCTTCCAACTCCTTTACATGTTAGACGGAAGATCTCTCTTCAATTCATTGCTATTGTCCTCGATACAAGTGCCTCAACAAGACGTAGCTTCTGCAAGGTTGCATGATTTGCATCCATCCTTTTAACTATATTGCACTCTCTTTCATTAAACTCATCATTTTCTTGATCGGGGTTGGTCATTCTGTTGCTCAGAAGATTCCAAGAGAAACTTTTTGGTCACAAATCTTACATGTGATAGTGGTTCTAAGAGAATGATTGTCCATCCTTTTCTAGTAGCGAAGATGGTAGCAACAACAGTCAAATTTTTCAGTTTTAGAAACATGCGAGAAGATCATTTTTTTGTTACTCTAGCATTGAATTTATATGGAGCTTTGAAAGCTTTGAAAACGATTATGACATGTTTGTAACGGAATGCACAAAACCTATCATATCAGGGGAAGTGATGTTTTCTAGATTATTGTGTAGTTTATTTTAGAAGATGTAGCCTTATCTTTGCAGTGAACATTAACCAAAGCTACCCACACAAAGAAAATTAATTTAAATGTGAAGTGCTGTGACATCACTTGTTCCATTTGTTTGTAAAATGTATGATCCACATAGTTCAAATATAGTGTGTAATTTGATACATACTTTTCATCTTTAGAATATTGTGGCATAAATCCTGGATTGCACTTTTTTTCTCCTCGTATGGCTTGATGAGGTAATTTATTTGTTTCTATATCCATTTGATGCCTCTTCCTAAAGTTAAAGCATCTATCATCGAGGGTAAGATGGCTTCTTTCGGACTCTGCAGTACTGGTGGTTTGCATGCATGTGACCTTATACAGTAGATGCGGTTGAAGATATAAGCTAATAAACAAGTATCACAAATTTGACATATTTTGGAAAGTGAGCAAGAGCTCATTTCAGTAGGTGGGAAGGGTAAAACAACGTTTATACTATCATGTAACAATCTTTTTCCATACAAAGCATTGGCTAATGCTAAATGTATGATAGCAACCTCATTTTCTAATGGTTTTCAAATGCTATTGTTGCTGTGATACAGTCCTGTATTGATCTAGATCATAACGTATTTCCTGGTGCTTAGGTTACACCTTCCATATGCTAATGTCGCGAAGCCCCTTCACCCTTGGATTTTTTTTCAAGCATGAACAACTTCATCAGGTCTTACTACTGTATCCTCCTCCTCTTCCTCCTTTTTCCTTCTCCCACTTGGACCCGTTCTCCCTAATCATCGCCGGCCGCAACGTCTAGCTCTCTCCCCCCCCCCATTAGCCATGATAATAACCAGTTGCCAGTGAGTCGAAGGCGATTCGAGGGGGGGATGGGAAGGTCATAAAACGGCCTTGTCGCAAGGCTTTAACACGGGCTATGCATCGGAGCCGATCCGCGGAAATCATTCGACTGAAACTTTTGTCTCGCCAACATTAAACCGACTCTCCTCCTCCTCCTCCTCCTGTTGCTTCTGACGTTGCTTCCCCTTCCACTTCCACTTCCATGCCCCAGATGCAGACCTTTGATGTTACGTCATGGCCCCGAAGCGAAAGAGTCGTCGAAGGGCCGTCTCGCCTGGATTCTATAATGCACTTGAAGAATCCGGAGTGGAAAGTCAAAACTCCATCAACGACGAACAGTGTCAGCAGATCGATCCACGTTAGAGCGAGCAGGCTTCTTCGACGATCGCGACCATCGACTTGCACTGGACGCAAGCATGGACTGGATTTGCAGCTCTCTCAAGAAGGGTCACTGATTCCTGAGTTTGTAACTTGTCTTTACTCGAGATGGCCATGACAACTCGAGCACATTTATGGACTTCGTCCCCTCGGTCACTCTGACCGGAAAGCATGTCGTCGAGCACGGTGCTGATCATCATTCAAAACTGCGCAGGGCCATTTACAGCAAATCAAACCTTTGTGGGGTATGTTTCATTCGCTATATCTCACTTGCAGGCGGCGCTTGTGAACGAATCACAAGCCCGTGCCTCGTTTGTGGATCTAGACTTTGCTGCCTTCTTTCCATCATATATGGTGCATGGTACCTTTCTCTTCACCCAAAGTGTCAAATGTAATTCGTCATTGAACTCGACGAGACTATATTACACTCGCTAACACTCGAGTGAATCTATTACACAAATCTGCGCACTGATGGTGTATAATTATAATACCAAAAGCTATGCTGGGGAGTGATGATAGACGTCATCTTGTTCTCTGCGCTAAAGAATGAATTTCTCCTTATCTTAACCATTTGACAAGGTCTCACCCTGTGTACCGACTTAGGGTGCCGAGTTTGAAAATGAGCTCAAGAACTGTGTCGCTGGCTGCGAATGGAGATCAGCCTTATTACCTCATTGCTATTTTCGCGTAAAAAAGTTGTCATCTTCTTCGACCTGAACGAGACGAAAAAGAAGAAGTCCGCGGCCTTGTCAACTCCACTGCAGATGATTGCAATAATTGAGGTGGAGTGAATTTGTAGATTTTTGGATTGATCTGGAACATATTGAATCCGAACACCTTCTTTAGCCTTTTCACGATCGGCCGAAAGATTGCATCCCAAGTGATGCAATCCAGTGAGGAAGAAGCTGGCTTTGCTTGCGCTGACACATGCTCAACGATTATTCCGTCTTTCGGTCACTTCTGAGAACATTCCCGCAGAGCAGCACGTTTTCTTTTCGAGTGGCCGGCCATTCAGGTCTCTCCCTCTCCTGGCCCCCTCCGGAAACGGGTCGTGAAACGAAGAGGCCCAGTGAGCACCACGCGATGCTGTGGTCGGGCTTTCGAGCTTACCATGAACGGGTCCAATTGTCAATGGGTTTCTCCCAAGCTTTTTCCCCACGCCTGCCCCGGATCGCTTGATGATCCAACTTTTGCCTCGTTGTCCAGCCCCTGTCAGCCTAAACTATACATCGACTGAAAACAGCTGAACCTTCGGTCAAAGCCAATGATTGAAGCTTCTCGCCCGCAGAGATATTATGATATACTATACAATCAGATGATTCCAGCCGTCTATGTGCAAAGGCAAGTGAAAGCGCATGCTCGAACTTTAACAATCTGCTCTTGAAACATGTCCACGCTTCGTGAAGCCCAGGCGATTTCCGAAGCCATTTCTTCTTGCACCTGAGAGGTCCCGGACGCTCGGGTAAATCTCCATTTGTCAACATATTACAACCTGTATATTCAGTTGGGAGTTCACAGCGGATAGGTAGGAAAGAAGAACTGGATGGAAGACAGTTTGACAGCCTTTATAAAGCTTGGGGGAGGAGGAGGAGGAGGAGTTCAAGGCCTTCATGTTCACCTTGGGAGATGTCAGACTCGGAGGAAATCGCCGAGTCCTTCATCGACGAGACGATGAGGACGACGACCTTGATCCAAACCAGCACTGCAAGTGGATAATACAGTTGCAAGATGAGCCCCGTTTGTGGAAAGAGAGGGAGAGGAAGGGAGTATCAGAGCAAATGATCATCAATTGGCAACTTTCCGAGGTGCAGGTACTCGATCCGGCCCTCTCAGAGGTCGACACGCTTGTCTGGAGATAAACATGAGACGAGATGCGATAAAAGAAACCTCAGATTCTATTCCCCTGACACCTTTTTCCGATTAGAACAACATGTGCATGTTGAACCCCTTTCTGCACCACATAAACATAGCCTCGAGCGCAGCAGCGATGCTGGACACTCCGTCTTTTCGAGACAATCATGTTTCCTATGGCGAGCTGTTACTCGTCTGAGAATCACAGCGTTAGCATCGACGAATTGTCTTTTTTGATCTCGCTGACAACTTCCCCGTGAGAGACATCTGTTGCCCATCCGAGCCTCGTTCCATAGACTGGTCAGAAGCAGAAGCAGAATCAGAAGCAGCAGCAGTAGACCTTCCACGAGCAGAACAGAGCGAAGGTAGCTCGATATAGTGGAGCTTCTGGGTGTTGTGGATAAACTTAATCTCAAGACCAACCTACGTACTACAGTGGGCTTGAAGGACTCCATGGTAGTTGATGCCCAATCACCACTACTACTACCACCCTCTGGTCATGTGATCCAGGGCTACTGCATGAATAGAGACGCATGAGTATCTTGGCAGCCTGAAGATTGAAACAGGACCGACAGTGACATCAGGAGATTGGATCTCGTATTTTGTTGAACCTGCTTGTCCACGAGCTTTGAATTTGCGTACACTGCCGTGCGAAAGTGCATCACAGTCCAGAAATATAGTTTTCGTCTTTGACAAACAAACTCCTCGCAAGGATGAGATTTGAGATAACCTTGTGTTCAAGTCAATCGTTCGTGCCTGCTGGTCGGAGCAAGCTTCCACAGAGGAGGCTATGGCTTTTGTCTGTTTGCTATTATACGTCAGACTAGACGTCGTTTCCTCGCAGCAAAAGTGGGAGCTAGAGATCTGTGTTGTAGGTCAAAGTCGAGGCTTGCGCGAGAAAGCAAGAGACGTTTCCAAAACCACCTCTCGAACTAGTGAGTCGCTTTTGGCCCTCGTGTGATCAACAAAAGAGGGACATCTGAATCTGAAACTGCAGAAGTTGTCTCTCGTTGTCTCCCGGGTATTTATTTCTCTCGTGGGAGAGGCGCTAGGAGTCCCTTGTGTCTGCACAATATGCACAGAGGGCGACGTCCCTTTGCAATACAGACTCAGTCCATACCGGTGGCCGCGATACGATCTAAGTACTGCAGCACGAGTTCAACGCCTACTGCTGGAATCAACGTCACCATCGCAAAGAGTGATGGCCAGTTGAATTAATGGAAGTGCCATGCAAGATAAATTAGAACGTTGTTTCTTGCCTCCGAAAGCGGTCAACCACGGGATACACTTCCTCCACCTACTCATACCATCTTTTCTAGGCAACAATTCTCTACAACTTGCTCGCTATGGCAAGACATGAAACCTTCTTGACTTGAGTACATCTCGAAACGATGAAAGCGCTTATCTGCATTTGGATCCCGGATGGCGCATATGCCAGACGTGATGGTTGGGTTCTGCCTGAGAATACCGAAGAATACTAAAGAGACTTTACACTTTACTTTTCCTTTACTAAAGAAGTACTTTCTGAGTGAGAAAGCAGAGCTGAAGAAGAAACCGAAATGATAATTTCTGAAGTTCCTCGCTTGCAAAGCAGACAGAAGAGTACACCCTACAACGCAGGTCTGGGAGTTCGCTGATCTCGTAGTTGCAGGATCTTGAAATAAAGAAAAGGACTCATACGCCAGCTGCTGTGCAACTGTCCAGCCCTCGATGCTAAGAATGTGTCTACGAATCAAATGTATGCTTTGTACATGACTTATTTACAGTCAATTGAGGTCATCTGCTGCTTCCGGCCATTGTTTCACTGGATAAAGAAATACAAACATTTAGACGAGGATCCGCCTTGGAAAACTGGGCCAACAAAGGTGCTAAATCAGGAGAACCAACTGGATTTTGTGAACCCCGTCCTGACTACAGAAAACTTTAGGCTGTAGTCCACAGGCTTTGTATAATACAGGATATCCACACAAGATACTGCTTTTGATGAAGCTTCGATCCTAATTCATATCTTTGGCAAGCGTCTTCAGAGCAGATCTAAGCGTTTCCTCCAGCCGACAAATTAAACTGTCTGTTGTATTTTTCAAATGATCCAACTGCCTCCACTGTCCTTGATATCGAGTACTCATTTTACCCCTTTTCTCAATCGCCTCCACTGACGCACTGTCAGCTTGTGTTTTCAAATACCGCTGCAAGGCCATGTAGGCAGCATTCCAAGTGGTCAGACCCGGGTGCACCCGCATGAACTGTAGTACCAGGGCACCGGCTTGTGCGTACTGCTTAGCTTTGGTCAACTCTCCTATAAAGAATGGGAATGCAACAACAGAGAGTGGCACATTCTCGCTAGATACGATACAATTTCTCATCGAGAGCTTCGTGGATATTTGCAACTCCTGAGATTGCAGGGCAAGATGTCCAAGGGATCGACAGAGAACTGAGTACACCCTCGTCATGGACTGATCACTAGCAACTGTGGTTAGAAGCCCAGATGATAACACAAGAGCTATGAGGTCTTGGTTCAAAGAATTTGACATTCCATCTGACTTAGAACCTCGTGATTTCAATTCCTGCTCTAGCAACTGGATTCCATGTTCTTGAGCAGAGCTATAGGGAAGGAGTAATGATAACTGGAGGGCAGCGCTTGGGTTTGACTCGCCAACAGCTGTTACAAGATCCTCAGTATCCTTTTCCGAGACCAAGACTTTGGTGGGGTGCAGCAATGCAGCATCCAGAACGCTCAAAGCCTGTGGCAAGCAGCTCCACTCCACCAGCTTTTGCAGAGTTGCTTTCCAGCATGAGTGAAGGGTATGCACCGTCCAATTGGTCTCACCAAAATCTTCCCATCCTTCACCCCAGTCCTCACCACCCCATTCTTCGGTGGCGTCATCCTTCGTTGTGGCTTCTTTCCGCTCTCCACTCTTATGTTCAAAACCGAAAGCTGCTTCCCACTCGACCAGAAGGGCCTTCAAGGCTGTTGCATGCTCAGAGGATACAGTAGAATCCACCAGGAGGTTGAAAAATGATGTGGCAGATTCGGAACTAGCAAGCTCTGCCGATGTAACCTCCTTGGTCGGCCACAGAGAGGAAATGATTTGGGTCGATCGCAAAGCAAGCAGCGCGTTGACGGCTTTCGCTGCTGGCAGTTTCTCCTCTTGTCCCTTCTTTTCTTTCAAGCTCGGCTCTAAATTTGCACCTTCAGTTTCCCACTTTCCCCAGGAGATGATAAGGTGTTCGTCACCTAGTTGACAAGAACGCCAAAAGTCTTCCCTAGGAACCTTACCCATCTTAATGGCCTCAAGAAGTTCTAAAACAAATATTCTTGTGGGCAGAGGAGCAAGTAGATCCTCTGCAAATTCGCACAATTTCTGCCAGACGACATGCCTTACTCTACTCAGCATCTCGGTTGATTTTTCATCCTGAACCGGAGCTGCACTGGTCTCTTCCTCCGATGTGTTGACATCACTGCTTAAAGAAACAAGAGCACGTACCAAACGCTTCTTTTCCCTCGACAAAATTCTGTCTCCGGTTCCAGAGCTGTCTTCTTCTGTCCGTAGGTTTTCAAGAGCTGTTCTAACAACTTGATCGTAGATTTCAACGGTTGTAGGCAGTTTCTCAGAGCTGACAAGTAACTTAGACCAATATCCTGATATTTCGGCAACAATGTCCTCTTCAGGTCTTCCTTCTGCGAGTAAAAGAGCCAAGAAACACCTAACAAGCACCTGTAGCAATAAACAAGCTGAACTTAAAATCATGTCTTTCTAGATACAAACAGTATAATTAACAGCAATGACTAAGTATATATACAATTTATTTGGTATGAGGATATTCGCTCGGAATCAATTGAAGGAGCAGATATCAGGCAGAATGGATTGCATATCATTAAACTGATTCTTCACCCTTCATTGGATGTACTAAAAGAGATAGTCGTCACCCAAGGCAAGCCTTCTCACCTGCCAAGTATCCACGTAGTACTCATGAGCAAGTGCCAATAGTCCGGGAAGCCATTCCTCCTGCCGTGTCTTCGCAGTTTCAACAAAGGAGAATATACGCTCATTAATATACTCTTGATCACCGGTGATGAAGCGTCCCGCATCTACACCAGGTAACATCTGTTGGAGTTTCCTTGCTTGCTCAGCAACCTTCAATGTTTCCGCTGCTCTGCTTCGAAACTCTGTCCAAAAATTGGACTCTGAACTAGTCTGAATATTCTTAGAAACGGCGTCTGGAGAAAAAAAAGACAGAATGTAAATATTAATACCATGATCTAAGTACATGTACATATTGACATCCGCGGAAAAAATCAACTGAATATTCCGTCACACGGTGAGATCATTGTAGTCGACAGATGCTCATGACAACTCAAAACGCGTTCGAGACAAAAGAGTATGACAATCGTTCTCTACTGTAAAAGTCGGAATGCTCAGACTCAAAGAACACATTGTGAGCGTGTCCTAATAGGTACTAAGTCCAAGTAGGGTACAAATTGTAAATAAGTTTGAAACAAAGGCATAACTTTGGCTGAACCAAGCCATTAGCAAACAGATTGATGGATAAAAGCTGGCAAAATGACGAACAAGAAACTTCCACGCAGTGATCACCATACCTGCATGTCCACAGAGATATTCACGCAATTCCCTTCTCCTCTCCTGCGGGTTATGCAAGACTGAAGCTGATTCTTGAAGTGAACTGAATGTCATTACCAGGTCCAGAGCTTGATGAGCTCCCTGAGCGCTCCCTCTCTTTTGGAGTTCCTCCTCTAGAAACTCAGTTCCACGATGTACGTCACGGAGATTCAACATATACCCACACCCAACGGTGTCATCCTCCTTAATTACTGGAGATTGAACTGCTTCACGCACAAGTAGTAAGACAAGGCTGTCATCTGGAACAATGTCATAATTCGCAAGTCCAAATAATATCAAAGCTGCTGCTTGAGCCCTCTGACTTTGACATTCTTTCGGGAGGTTGGGCTGCCATTCTTCTTCAATCTCCATCCATCCGTCATCTGCTCCAACATCTAACTGATCAGCGTTCTCCACATCTTGTGACAAGGCACTAATCTTGACAAGCCAAGGTAGATTCACGCCGATGAAGCCTAACGCTTTCCTGTTCTCTTTAAAGTATAGCTCCCAGTCCTCACTTTTCTCACATTTTGCGGCAACATGAGAGAGAGCGAGCTTTGCCTCCTGCCAAAGAGACTTACCCTGTCTTTCCTCAGACGAGGACACAGAACCTGGATCTGACTTCAGAAATTCTGAGACACATGTTCCCACCTTCTCATGCTCTGCGAGACCCATATCAAGCCTCTTCACAGCTTGCCCCAAAACATTGCAAGAGCTCATAAGATCGAACTCTTTCCAAGCATTTAGCAGCTCTCCGACCGACTCTTCATCACAATGACCCAAGGCAAATCCAAGGAACTCTTTGCGCGTATTGAGGTCCATTCGATCGAAGTCAGGGCCCCTTCCAAGTGCCGCGCAAAGATCCCAAATTGCACCATGACCCTTTCTGACCAGACCAAGACACAAGTCTCGCGCAAGTCCAAAATCGCCAGCACCAGCTGCCTCTCTTGCAATAGCTGCCTCTACAGCAGCCTGCTCATCTGGAGATGTCAAGCCCAGAAGGCTGGCAACATTCATGATTTCAGGAACATTCAGGTAGGCACCTGCTTCGGAAGAGATAGCCAATCTAACGGCTTCCATTCTGTCCTTAAGCTGACGAAACTGGACAGGTAACAAGGTTACCCCCAGAGAAGGAAGTCGGTCCGTGAGTGCATCAATGATATTACGTTCAGCATTCAAGGAATCGCTTGGCGGGAGAAGATTTAAACATTCTATGGCCTTCTCAATCTGCACACAGATAATACGAGTCAGGCTGATGTTTGGCACGTTAAATGATAGTTTAGAAGATCGAAAACTTTAACAACTGAGTCAGTCACAAACACTCGTGTTAGTCCCGGCATTTTCCAAAACCTCCAAAAGTCGGACCAAATCAATCATCACCAAGGGTTTCAACTGCGCCTTGTCACCATCTACTAACCTCTACTTCATATCTAACGCTAGTTCCAAGCCTAGGCATCCATGATTGCCAAAGATCATGGATTAAAATGAAAATACTGTACAGAGGTTAAAATGAAAAGCAAAGATGCTATTACAAATTCAACAACCATAAATAAGTTCAGAAAACGGTCAACTTACGGCAGGAGAATCCAAGCTGGGAGCTGAATATAAATATTCCCGGGCAATCTTCAAAACAAGCTTTTCTGCCTTGTCGATATGCAAACTTGTAGTCCCTGTACCCTTGAGGTAATTTTTGGCCAATGAAAACTTTCCTGCTCTCAGCAATCCTTGACAAAATTCTAGTAACAAGGACTCCCGGCCAAGTAACGGAAACGCTTTCTCTTGTAAGGTTCGTAGATCCTGCCATAAACCTGCCCAACCACTATCGGTTCTTGCCAAATCTCTGCTCGGAAACTTCGCGAGAAGCAATCGAATGATCTGTTTTGTACCCCCGTTATCTCCTTTACAACTGAGGAAAAAGCTGATGGGCTTCGGAACCTGTCATCAGAACCAACTGTCAATTCTTGAAACGGCGGCACTGCACCAACAGCTTCTAAATTCTCCAGTGATAACGATAATTATCTGAATTTTTGAAGTTTCTCTTCGTAGTTTGACCCCTGCAGAACTCACGAAAATATGGGTCACTTCTCCACTATCATGGGCTTTTGACCTGGAGTTTAACCACAAATCCGTGAGCCAACTTCACCCTTCCCCTACGACGATACTCAAACTTAAGCATATTTTACCAACACATCATTTATGAGTAGTAGGATGTTGTGTACTGTGGATAATGCACCTGATATTTCAAAAGAAGTTGTCCGGCCTTAACGTGCCCCTCCGCTACTCGTACTCTCCCTTCAAGCTCATCAGACAACACGTTGCCTTTGCCTAGAAATGTGCCGAGTAGATCAGGGGATGTTCTAGGAGACATTGGTTGTGCATCGTCGGATACGAGAGGTGACATTCCTAAAGACGAATCTGCGGACTTGCCGACAGCACCTCTAAAGGCTCTCATAAATCCCTTTCGCAACCCCCTCTGTCCATTAATATCATCGAACGCCAAACTTGGCTCCTTCTTCAAGTCTCTGTGCGGAAGACTCTGCAATACATAAAGCATTGTTCTCCATGCGTCTTCCCCTGTCTCTGTGCAAGAGTATATACAATCTAACGCAACTTGAGCAAGCTCATCTTCACCTTCAAAGAAACCATGTTCTCTAGGTTCTTTGCAGCAGTCAACCAGTACTACTGCACAAAGTGAGAACTTATTCTCTTTGGCTGCTCCTCTCAACCATGTCACCAAAAACGATTGTGAATTAGCATCCACGTCTGAGTGATCCTTGTTACTGTGTGCCTCGCTGGCAGCGTTGGGAGTCGAGCTTCTATGGGGCATGAACGATGTGGCCTGCTCTCTCAGCCGATCCACAATAGTATCTTCCCTCGCACCATCTAGAATCAGTTTGAACTTCTCATATTTGCTCAGACTCTCCCAGTCAGACAGAGTGAAGCCCACGACTACATCGTCTGAATCACCGGTGAAAATGATGGCCATCAGGTCTGAAATATCTTTTGAAAAGCTTTCCAACTCTCGCAGTCCTTTGGCAATACCGTAGTCCAGCAGAGATAAACTGTTTTCCAGCAACCCTGAGGCTCGATCAATCTCCCGTGACCGTCGGAAGTACCAATCTATAACTTCCGTCTTGCTTGGCCACTGAAGACCCTTCGAAAGCTTCACGACGTGTTCTGTGCTCTCTTCTAAACTCAAATCCGTCTCATTTTCCTCATAATGCTGCTTACCACTCTTGATGGCCATCACAATCTCAAGATTCTCAACCCAATCCTCCTTCGTACGAGGAAGAAAAGGTCTGGGAGGAGTAACGTCGGGAAGGAGCTGATTATAACTGTTGGGAGGCATAGTTTCTGGAATAGAATCCAATATTTCCAGAATACGAGGGGCCAGTGAATAAGCATGTCGATTGAAAAGCAAAGCCAAAGCTCCAGTTTTTCCTCGTTCAGCCAATCGCAGTGCTACAGTCAACAAAGGAGCTGAGCGAAAGATCATGTACTCGTTCTGAGAGTATCTGAAAGAACAGCAGGCAATCCAAGTGTCACGCACGACACTCGATACATGAAATCCAACAGTTTCCATCTGTGTTGCCTGTAATTACAGATCACAGAATTTGACTTCGCACTATTTGTACTTCAAAAGACAAAACATCAAAAGATTTAAAAGGACATTGACAAAAATCATATGCATTTGTACGATTCACGAAAAAAATTCCAGCTGTCGAAAGGTTGGGAAAGAAAAACCACCGACCTCCCATTGTTGATGCCAATAAAAGTCTCAAGTCTGTCTTTGTACTGAAGAAGTCGAAGACGTTTGAACCGAAACCACCAACATTTGTCACTGCCGTCACCATTCGAAGAAGAGAGAAAGCTCTCAGGATGCACAAAAGGTTCGGTGACCCTCAGCCCATAATTGAGCAAGGCGTTCATAGAGTCATAGCTAGGGCAGATCCTCTCCTTGCATTCCTTCACTACCCACATCTGATCTTCGACCTTGGACAATACGCCACGGATCGCCTCCTCCCCATAATCTGAACAGTTCCACTGTGGCTTGTAGACATCATCTTTCTCGAGTCCGTATTTTTTGGCTAACAGTAAAGCGGATTTGTAATCCTCCTCCTCGATGAACTTTTGGAACTTATGCATCTCTGCTCTTGTTAAGAGAGACATCTTGACTACAGCGTTATATAGCTCCAACACATCAGCTCACTGGCACTTATAGCCTTCCCATACCCACCACCACGAACACCCGCATGCTCTTCACAGCAGCAAGAACAAATTCAACTGCGCGCTCTGAAACAGCAGCTGCCACTCTTTTCTTTTTCACCATTCCAAGAACAGTCATGAGTCGACCCTGATTCATCAACCGGACTTTTTCAACCTCCTTACCGTCCACGAGGTAATTCCACACAAATGCCGTCTGTTGAAGTTGCTGTCAAATCGTCAGAACTCCATGGCATAGTGATAATGGTCAACTTAAACCCTAGTCCTCTCGGAAACTTACGGTGCCTCCGGACACTTTTCATGACCGTGAACGCTTTTCGTAAGGTCGGATCTGAACCCGGAAAGCGATGGAACGAGTCACTCGAGCGCTGCCCTTACATTCCTTCCACCACGCAATCTCAAATGAACAAACACTTCAATCTCAGCACAATCAAGCAACTCACAGAAGGGAAGCCAGACGAGCAGGGCAATCAACAACCACAACAATATGTACCTGAGCCGATCTTCACCACGCACGAGAATCGCCCGATCGGGCCAGCTAAAACCTCCGAAAAATCGAGCTTCAGCGGCGGAAAAACTCACCCCTTCGACTTCTCTGTCACACCGATTCACAGCGACCAGAACAAAGCAATTGATCATCTTGCCAACAGGACCCAATCCTCGGGAAAATTTGCTCCCCGGGCGGCCTCCCGTCAGATCAACATTGACCGAAATTCCAACTGTAATCAATTCCAACTCGCCTCAGACATTCAAAATCCCAGAAATCCCAGCAATCGGAGGAGTCCAGGGTCGAGATCCAAACCTCTTCGTATCGACGGAGAGTGGGAAAAGCGTCAACGTACTGTACAGAGAATGCTGGCGGCACTGGGGAACGAACGAGAATGAGGAAGGAGCAGGAGACGCTGGTCCCGTGCCATCACCACGCCATCGACATATTCCCCTCCGTTTCTCCGCACGGACCATTCTTCCGTTCATTTGTCTGCTGCAACGTGTCACTGCCACGTCTGCGTCCTCAGCGTCCGTCCGGCGTTGTCCGTCAGTCCGTCCGGCGTCCGGCGTCCGGCGTACATTGTGCTTCGTGGTCACATTCCCAAGGGAAAATGGAAATGACTCCTTTTCATCTCCTCCCTCTTTTCTGCTTCATGTTAGCTCGTTGGCATATAGTTCAATTGCATGATAGTGGAACATGATCCATTTTTATTCTTGACCAAACTTGCTAGCAAACGAGTTTCACAAGATACTTTATTGTTACCGCTGTGGTCTTTAGATGTTTGTTATTGGAAAGTATTATAGCACATAGTGAGGAAGGATGAATACTACGCATCATAATATAAGTATATCAACTTCATGGATATTTGAAATATCAAGAATAATAAATCTACAAATATAAACACACAAAAATATATACATTTTAGAACTACATTTATTGGAAACCAGAAATTTTTATTGAAACCTACACAATGTCCATATGAGTTCGTATATATTGCGTGTGGGTAATAAAAATCCTAAACGTAACACTAACTAATATCAAATTATCTAAAATCAATTTTAGATTGTACTTTATTCTAACAATCTATCTGTTAACTCATGACATGACTACAATAAACTCTACAATCCATATAATTATTCTATATGAAACTTTAAAAAACTTTAACTGAAAAAAAATCTAACATACAGTAATTTTTAAACTACAACTAACTAAAATTGAGTTGTAGTAAAAAAATGATAGAATTATATTGAATTAAATTACAAGTCAATGCTATTTGTACTCCCATGCATAGTGAAACTATGTTTAATAAAGTTTTCCACAAGATTAATTTTGATCAACATATAAGCTGGAATAAATATATCATCAATTATGAGTAATTCAATACTCTTATCAAAAATTGCATGTTTGATAAAGTGATAATTTGATGTTGATGTGTTTCAATTTAATTTTTATATTTGCAATAAAATATAGCATATTCTAACTAACATTATGAAGATTGACAATCTTATCTTTCAATTAAGTGATAAACTATTCAACTAAACATCTTCCTTTGCTGTTTTGGCTCTAGCTACATGTTAAGATTCATGAGGGAATAATCTACTCACTTTTGCAAAGTATGTTTTCAACTAATGTATCATCATAAAGTGTAAACGCATATCTAATTGTAGATTTATTCTTTTCAAAAATCGGCATGAATGTAGCCTAGCCGAATTTGACATTGTTCATTAAGTCATCACACAAAATATCATAATTTTTCATACTCTTCATGTACTTGAAAATACATTTCACTCCTTCCCTATGCTTATTTGCTAGATAAGACATGAACCTGCTTGCCTTGTCTATAGATAAAGCAAAATCAGATATATGCATGCCATCAAATAGATGAAGTTGCACAGAGTTTTGTCATAGGAAGTTGATGATCTTTTCTTTTCACAATGGCATCGGGCTGGACATTGAGTTGTAGAAAGTTTGAAATGCTATGCCAAAGGCGTCTAACTCTTTTAGAGTATGTGATGTTAAAACTTTCAAGCTAAAGTTGAATGTATTTGACTTGATTCAACTATAATTTTTTTTTTCCAAAATCACTACAAAGATATATCCATAATATACTCTTGGATTTACTCAAATACTTTATTTTAAATGAAGATTTCACCTGGTTCTTGAATCTGGATTGATAATTTGCTAAAATAAGCATGTCATCAGCGTAGAGTTCTAGATTAATGTGATCAAAAAATCTTGTAGTTCACTTTTTTCATGTATAGACATGGATATACAAAGTTTGTGATCATCTTTGTGTTTTCATACATTTATAAAACCTCGCAATTCATTGTCTAGTAGTTTGCATGACTTAAATTATATAATAATATAAGTAATTTACAAATCAATTTTTTTACACTTTTCTTCTTAAATTCATCTTTTTTGCCTCAAGTAAATTTCTTCTTCTAGAGATCCAAATTGATGTATGATAAGATAAAATATTACAAAAATTTCATATACTAAATGCATCATATCATATTTGGTTACACTTGAGAAAAATAAGCTGTAATCCACATTTTTTTTGGTTAAACCTTTAGCCATCTACTTCCTAACTTGGCTTCGTTAGTTACTAATTTGTACTTCACTTTGAACATCTACTTGCATTTAATCAAAGTTTGATTCTTTGTAAACTTCATTAGCTTTAAAATTTTGTTATTTTATCAATGATCACATTTCACTCTCCATATTAGTATTTCAATCAAGCTTATTAACATTAGCTTGAACTTCTCTATAACAAAAAATTTATCATTTTTTAAAATTCAAGGCAATGTTATCATCATATTCATGATATTCCAAAATGTATGATTTGGTCCATAAATTATATTTTACAAGAGTCTTATTCATGTGATTCAATGATCTTCTAGTGTACTATACTAGTTGATCTTTCTTGTCTCGTGCAGATATTTAAATTTCATTAACAATAATTTGTTTCTTTAACTCTTGCTCTTTAGAAATTTACTCCATCTACATCAAAGTTTATTCTTGTGTAACATCATTAATCACAAAATGAGCAATCTTTTCCAACAATATATTTGAGTGAAGATTTGTACTTGTTAGAAACCTCATATATTTTCTAATGCTTATATCATCTAGAATCAATAAAATAAACATACCTACTGATACCTACCTTACAAAGCACTGGATCCCATAACCTATAATCATTCACACCATCAGTATATCCAAGAAATCTACACTTCTTAGAGATAGGATCCAGCTTGGTTATATTATTCTTAGCTATGAGAATATTATTTGTATAACCAAAATTTTTCAAATGATTATTATCAACCATTTGTTTGTGACTCAAATGGAGTCAAAAGATTGATTGCTTTGAAAGGAGAACCATTTGTTAAATATCAACTCTCCGAAAAAATCTTTTGTTACATAATATAAAACGTGATGCAATAACAAGTATCTCCCTCTTCTTTGCATACTAAACCTTGAAACTCTTCAGATATATGATGTTCAACTTTTTGTGTACGTAAATATCTCATATTCTATCTAGTTTAAGACTTAATTTGGATTTTTCAACTTTTAAAATTTTATAAAAATCTCAGATTTATATTAAAAATAAAAAACACAAATCTTGAATGTAAAATAGATAGTACGGTTTAATTCAGATTTTTGGAAAATCAACCTACACTTCACTATATATATATATATATATGCTCATAACAGAATGTTCACAAAATTTTAACCAAATCTCTTTAGTTATTGATGGAACAAAAATCATTTTCCTCATTCTTAGCAAAGACATTACAATTGTAATGGGTTGTGTCTTAGCAACTACAAAGTAACCCATTCCCACCTTGTAGTCATGAAATCGAGTTATCTAACTACTCATGTGTTGTGTCTCTCTAACGCATAACACACTTAATAGACTCTTGAAATCTATGAAAAGGCGGAGGTAGTTAATCTGAATTCGGAAGTCGTGCAGATTCAAGATGCAATGACTCAACTTTGACACTGGCCGGACGGTTCGACTATTCTTGTCACATCGTTTTTCCAAAGAGAAGAACTTTCAATTATAATACATGCCAATGGATTAATCCGATTATGATGCACACGTTAACCTGGATAGTTATACAAATGGCAATCTCTGTTTTCACAAAACGATATACTGTTTTGATTAAAATACAACTGCTTCATTCCCATTCCGACCTATCGGCAAGCTACCAGTTCTTGTGCAAAGTTACGCTCCTTGCTGGCTAAACAGCTGGTTTAGCAAATCTAATCTCCACCTCTTGCGCAACTGTTCCGGTTTTATGTTGCTTCTTTGGATCGATATTTAGTAAATTTAGCTTGAGAAAGTCCAAGCGCACCTATGGGATTGCAGAACCCTGCATGACGACGACTAAGAGTTTAAAATCTCTGGAAATCATGTGTTCACGTGAGAGGACTCCTGAACATGCATTATAAATAACATTTATCTAGGCTTCACATTGCGGAATTTCTGAGTGACACATTAGATATGAAGTTTAAATCACATTGATGGATAAAATAATTAATTGTGCTGCATCGAAAGTCCATAGCGAAGTTTCCATATTCTACGTGCGTCAAGCGTCTTGGCTCCAGAAGTCAAAAGTTCAAGTATGGTGTTCTATCAACTTAACGACGAAGGAAGAAGCCCCAAGTTTAATGAGCATCGCGCTATCTCTTGAAGGTAAACTCAGACTGTGAATTCCTATGATGGATCGATTCTATAATTGCGACCATGTGTACTGTTGTTCACATGTTTTCTGGACACCAGAAGAACTGTGTAAACCTGGCGGACTCTACGTTGGATAAAATCCAAACTGTCGAAGACATTTGATCTATCCACACTTAAAGGACTACATATTCCAGAATGTGACTGTCTCTTCTAAACGAATGGAAAATGTATCTCACAGCCTTTTCTGTAGCATAAACGAACTTCTTGATTGTTCTTGCTGATCCAATTGCTGCTCACCTTCTCGTTTCTGTGATTTTCATCTTGCGCCCTTTGCATTGCGCACACATCAAGAGAGGCAACGTCGGATTCTGAGAGTGACAAAATCCTTCAGAATCATTACATAGAGTGAACTTTGCACATTGGTTGATATCTTAACATAAAACGTGCACAGGGGGCCGAATGGTAGAGTTAACAGCAGTCCTGCGCTTGTCGCCTTTTCACTCGCAAGCTCCTGGAAGATTGGCTGTTCTCCACGCAGAGAAATATTAGAGCGTGTCCATGTCCCCCGTACCAACAATTTCTGTATAGAAAATGAGTAGAGATAGTTTCAGATCCAAAATCAGGACACAGGCAGAAATTGGAGAGCGGGTCGCTGCCTGTCATCTCCAGCACCTCGTGATCACTTAACAAATCTCCAGCAGCTGGGCCTTGGTCTTTGTGATGCATACATGCTAAATCCGGCAACTCCCACTGATCCGAAGAAAAATTTAAGAAGACGATGATAGAACTCCAGTTAGTAAGACTCATTTCAAACGTGATCATTCTTCGTTCGGACCAGGGAATTCTCGTTTATTTCGAAAAGCCCGTTCTCTTCTCAGCTTGTTGCCCTATTGCAGAATGCAATGCTGAGATGCAGCTGCAACAACATTTTCTTGGGACACAGCACTGCTTCAGATAGTCTTTAGAACTTGAATATAGGTAAACGTCTAAGAATCAGTCAGGTTTTTGTAGGATTTGCTAACACGTCGTTAGTCTGAAAAGTTCATCTCTTCGCTTCAATGTTGACTTATTTTCCCTTGGCTCGTGACTTCCACGGTGGCTTCGAATTAACTTGCAACATATTGAATAGATTTTGTTAGATGTTATAGCATTGTTAATTAATTGCGGGAATACGAGTATATCTCTCTGTTTTAAATACTGGAAGCTATAGAAGTCTGCCATCAAGTGAGGCGTTGTTTTTTGATACAACATAAACATGCACAAGATCATATATTTTTATCATCATGTTTCGCTTTTAGCTGCATGTTCAGAAAGTCTTATTTTAACACATCATTCCATCGTATCTCATTGTTATTAACACCTTCACGTACGCATTTTAAAAACTTTAAAAAAACTACATCCATACCAAAAGGGCATAGAGAGCTTGTATTATTGTATTTCATGATACTACCAAAAACTTTGCTACAAGTTGCAAAATGAAAAGACAGAGCAAACTGAATTCATGAATTCTATATTTATAAAATGATAATGTTTTACACTAATGAAACATTTTATGATACCACCTTTGGTGATGGTTGACTGATGCATTCCAGTTATGTTTTATAACTGCATTATGGTTTTTTATCTTGATGCAGGATTTCGCTATAGAAGAACAATAGAAAATGCATGAAATAATTAACACGACTAAGCTCAATCTAAAGATGGACTCCTTGTTATGTCATTCTTATTCAATAAAGTGTCCATAAGGAGTAATTATTATCTTGCTAAATGTCATTTGAGATTATACTCTAAAGAACTCGCATGAAACACGAAATGTATAATAGCACAATACTTTCCTCTCTAACTTCAGTTGGCAGGGCAGGCACAATGTACGGGAAAAGGCTTACAGCTTCAAAGTTGAAAAATGTACCCCAATGAATCTTCTCCCCGCATGAGTGCATGTCCCAAGCAGTTGCAGGTTTGCACTCAGAGGTTACTACAGTCAACATGTTGCAAACCATGGCCGGACATGGCACGTGCCAGTGAAGACGTGTCCTGTGCCGCCGATGAAAGGCAGCGTTAACGCGAGTGCGCAACGAAGAAAGGCACCCGCTGCTTCACATGACACCAGCGAACCCGGTCCCCAAAGCCCCACAGCGCCAAGAGCCTACGCCGTGAACCTCACTCACCGCCTCGAGTGCGAAAATGCTACCGAGTGCCAGCATCTACATGGTACTCGTCCTACGCAGTACGTGACAGGCACGTGAGAGCGGTTTGTTCGATCGGGCCCGTTCGTATATACCAGACTGGCAGTTATTTGACAGCACACGCCCAAGAACAGCGATGAACTCCGGGCCTGAACCGGGATGGATGGACGGATAGATGGATGGATGTGGGTCAACCGAACCGCTTCGACTCGAATCTGGTTATGGATATGGGGGCGACCGTATGGGGATGAGCGTCAGTCTACGGACTCTCACGACAACCGGAGCCGATAAACGGCGCCCGTTTCGTTTGCATGTCAGCCGGTCGTTGAAGTTAGCGGCGACCGCGTGGAGTGTGGCAGTTGCCATCGCTCGGAGTTGTATTGAAGGAAGGAAGGCGCGGGAGCGGGGGCGCGTATAAAGCCGTTCCAGATCCGTCGCTCAAACCGACGCTCACGAAGTCGCAGGCCTGCTGCAGGCGCGCGCTAGCCTCTAACTTCGCTCTGGCCGACCTCGTCATTCCTCTACGTCTGTCTATCTCTCTCTCTCGAGCGCTCGTCGCAAGGTACACGAGCTCCCCCGCACCCCCCACTCCCCCGCCCCCATCCTAAACCCGCCACGTGCCCGATCTCGAAATTCCGCCCTCCCTCCGCGCGACTGCAAATCTAGCTCCCTCCATTCGATGAGAACGGATTGATCGGCTTCTCGACAAAGCGGCGGCTGATTCTGAAATGTCGACGTTTAATCGAGTTCCTGATATCGACTTTTGATTCGAGCAGGGACGATTGCATTGCATTGGATTGCATTTAGACCGAGGGGTTGGCCTCCGACTGAAAGTCTCGAAGAGTGAAAGGGTCGTTTAAAAAAACCGCGTGGAATAAGTGAAGAAGAACTTGTCCGCATTGTAAGAATTTGTAAGAAGTGTTGTCTTTTTATGGGGTAGCGGCTAAATGTCACCAGTTTTCCCCGAGTACAGGTGAAATTTTGCGCGGAGAGATCGATTTAAGGCCTGCATTGGTGCCCTGAGCCTCACCTTCAACGAGAATTCGCCATGGCGAAACTGGGGAGGGGTCCAATTCTCTTCGCCATTCTTCTGCTGAGATTCACTTTCGCCGTGGGTGAGATTCCATGGCTCAAACCCGGACGTAAACAAAACAGCGGTGAATGCTCATTCGTTCGAGTATTGATGATGATCCGACATGTTCGGACCTTCGGCTGACGAGCTCTCGGAACGTGTTTCGCAGGCCTCGAGTGTGAGGATCTCTCGATTGAAGATTGCGCGTTTGCAGTGTCATCGACGGGTGCGCGTTGTGTTCTCGAAAAGTCGACACTCCAGAACGGAGAAACGTCAGCGGAATGTCAAGTACGTAATCATGCTCATGCTCCTGATGCGGACATTAGATCTGAGGAACGTGGCGGCGTGAGTGGTCTTCTTTCTCAGTTATTCGCAGCCGGAAAGCCGCCAGCCACCGATCTTCTGATGTCCAGACCTTCCGACCTTGCAGACCTCCATCATCATGGCGGAGAAACCGTTGGAGTGGATCGAAACTGACGAGTGCATCAAATCATGCGGGCTGGAACGGGTTTCCTACGGCCTGTCCACCGATGCACTGATGGAGAAAGGCTTCACAGCTAAACTCTGCTCAGCAGAATGTCAGAATAACTGCCCCAATATTGTTGATTTGTATATCAAACTCGCAGCCGGAGAAGGTACCATAACGCAACCCCCATCCGCGTCCTCTGCTCCACCTCCACCTCCACTCCACACACAATAAGCCCAGCCTCGACCTCTCTTGCTGCTCGCCAGAGCATGGTCCATTGTTTCTCGATGGAGCATCTACGTCCTTTCTCGTTGCCCGACTGACTCGAGCCTACACTCAAGAGTGTGAACGATAATATTTCAGAAACGAACAATTGGCGCTCGGATCATGAGCTGCGGATGGAGTCATGAGTAACTGCGATCCTGATATTTACGGGCATGAGCATTTGTCTGTTTGTTTATTGTGTGCAGGTGTGTATTTGCCACGCCTATGCACTTCCCAGAAGTCCAGGTCTCGTCGCTTGATCGCAGATCCAGTGCAGGCTCTGAAGGCAGTCGCTGGGTCGGATCCTCAGATTGTAGTAACCAGCGACACATGGAAACAGAGCGAGGTCGCTCCCGGTCCACTTGAAGCAGCTGCCTACTCCCCGACATCTCTACCTCAGTCTAACCTCGAAGAGAGTGCACTTACACCAGCCCAATCGCCAGAATCAGACATAGCCTATCTTCCCATAAGTCGCTCAGCGGCCGAGGTCTACCCGACAGCAGGACCGACCGCGCTTCCTAGCGTTGCTAACGCGGCGACCTCCACCACAGTCGCAGTTTCAGTTGCACACACCTCTGCGGAAGATCTCGAGAATGAATACCATCAGTGAATACTATCCATGATGCATCCCGATATTCATCCATCCGTAGGAACTAGAGACTTCGAATAGAACGTACGAACGGGTGATTTGCTTTTTTGCTGTCAATAACGGATCTGCAGGCGGTGCTCGACATCGCCCAGTCCAAGAGGGCAACCACCAGAAGGCCAAGGATAGACATATCCACTCACAAGAATTAGTCCGGTTGCTAATTTTGCTGCTTTTGGATATTGTGAGAAAAACTGAGCAGATTTTAGTTGTAGGCCTCCTGGAACTGCAAAATTATTCTTTTCTATCCATCAACCTATAGTTAGATGACAATGACCCAACATTTTAGACGTAGAGCTGACGGTGCCGCACTGCTTCGAGCGACGAGAACTGTTTCAAGACATACATAACCGGTCTCCGGCTTCTAGGTTGAACAAACTTTCAGCATATTATGCAGAATTGTGGCAATTGTTTTTGCCAATGAATTTAATGAATGAATACTGTGGAACATTCAGAGTTGTTACTGTTTCTGCATAGATAATGCTATCATCTTGCCTCAGTTCATACGTCTGTCCCTCGAGTAGTTATTGCAGTTACTGAGAACAGTTGCAGCTGAAAGGAGTGAATATCCAATTTAAATTTCCAATCTCAAGTTTTTGCAGATTCCTGCAGCTAAGTAGAAACCATCGTTAATGGTTTAAATTGACAGGAAAAGTTAATCAGGATCCTATATTGATCGGGATGACTGGACTGGATAAATGGACCTGCAACTAAAGATTACGAGGAAATTTGTCACGAAGTTATCCATGGCGTCCCACCTTACACATCTTACACACACGATCAGTATCATGAAACCAAGGGAATTGAGGCTTAATATTTGACCAGGTCTAACAGAACACAACGAGCGGCAATTGATGAATGCCGATATTTATACATCTTTCACGATCAATCTCATATTCCTAAGGATAAAGTTCTCTGACTTCAACCTTATCACAATGAGTTCTTTTGAAATTGCGCTTACCGTAGTTTACTGATCTATCGCTTGCTATTTATTTGCGAGCTTCTGACTATCCGCAGAACCGTAATAGTTTTAGAACCACGGAATGTGAACAAAAGACGGGCACAAGCAGGTACGAAGCGTTAATCATTATGCATGCTTCTTGGGACAAATAGAGAGGTCAAGTGCACCTCCCGAGCAGCGAAGTGTGGGATTAGTTACTGTAAACGCAACAGAGGACAACTCGCCCTTGAACTAGCAATTGAATGGCGACTACGAATGGAGTACTGCTGATACAATGCGCTCAGTTGGCCAAAACAGCTTTTGAGGAATTGCTCAGTAACTTGCGCAAGTCACAGCGTGAGTGACCTTAATTATAACGCAGAAAACAGAAATGCGCAAATTTTGCTGTAAAAGACAGAACAGTTACTCATACCTGAAGTGGATAGTAACTCGTTTTCAGCCTTCAGACATTTCCTCACGTAAGGAGGGCTATCGCGCTTGTGTCTTGAGCGGTACAATAGTTGAATGATAGTATGTTAGCTCAGCCCACCGGTAATTAATGGATACCTGCTTTGTGTACATTTTTCTCATCCACTCTGAAGGAATTTATGCTTTTAGCTGACTGCGTTATTCAGATACTTACTGTCGCCAATTATATCACAGGTCAGGACTTGGACAGGGCATAGACTAGAGTTGTTTCAAATATTTGGCAATGCTTGGAAAGTTGCTTCAATTGGGAACTTCAAGATTTTCAGATTAGTTTTTGTATTAATTGTATGCCAAAAATTATTTTTTTGACAAATGGTACCCAAAAAGTACCTGAAGTGGAACTTAATGTTGCAGACGACGAACTGTCGGAACTGACTGCAAGATCATGTCTCACCACCATTCACATATATGATTCAGTTGAAGAAGATCTACATTCGGATTAAGAAATCTCGAGCTTCAGTCGATGATCTGAGGAAATGATCTGAGGTAGAATATCTATGAGGGCGCCAGAATATGACGCTGAGGCTACTCGAATAAAAACGGGCCCCTTTCTCTGGGGCATATGAGGTTACCAAAGTTGAAAGTTTAGGAATGTGATCAACCTTGTCGATCCTTCTCAACAATCCAAAGTTGTACTGATATCCTTCATGTGTAAAGCAGGAAAACTTCCCACTTATACGTGGTATACGGAGCATCAGGTCCGCCATATACGATGCGGTTCACTGCGTATCCTGTGGCCATTCTAAAGTTGTGAGTGCCTCCCACAATGGCCCATTCGTTGGAATCTACATCGTAGTTCCAGTCGCTGACGATGAGAGTGCCATTGTACGAGCCCGTATCCAAGGTCAGCAGCTTCTGCAAAGCAAAAGTTGGGTACTCTCGGTTGGGCTGGAAAAAGAACTGGGGCTCGGCCTAGAATCTTAGATGTAGTGCTTACACCTTCCCGGATCACGTGCTCTGCCCACCCCAAGTTGCCAAAACTAAAATACGAGGCGTTGCCTGACGGCATGGCGGCTAATACATCGGTCGCCTCGTAGCCTGGCTCAGCTACTGTCCGCTCGTGCAGGTAAAATTCAAGTTTTCTGGGACCACTTTCAAGTGCATGTACCACAGAGTGGCCGCAGGAGATGACAATCGCGGAAACGAGGATGAAAGCTGCACATGCCCCAGCAGCCTGCGGGTGGAAGCAGTTCATCGCCATCCTAAAGAGTGTACCAGTAAGATGCGAGTAAGAGCCTTGCTCTGCATTGATTCAGATGCTGGACGATCAACAACTCGAGAGCTTCGACAGCTGCCTATCTGTAAATGCAACGTACCAGTTGGAACATCAGGGTTTGGATCCACTTTACTGCAGTCGAAGGATTCGAGCCACAGATTGGAGGGTACTGATATATTAAGGTTTTTTTTTATACGGGAGCTAAGTTGAAGTGAGAATGAGCTCACGCCAAAGAGGAGGGTCAGTTGACCTCGCTGCACTCCCTCAAACTAAGACAGAATATCCGTCACTTACGCTGGTTGCAAATGTTGCGCCGTAGAATTTCAGAGAAAATCTCTCACTGTGAAGTGGCAAAAACAGACGGATGTAAAGGTAATGTAATGTAATGGGTGTCCATAATTTGGGCAAGATTTTCGGTTCAACAATCGAAGGCAGAGACTTCTAGTTGACTGAACACTGTTTCTCCCCATGAAAAGAGACAAAGCAGACGACCCCACGATCGACATGGAACGTCGTTGCTCTCACTCTGAGCTGCACTTCATCATGGGAAATCTGCACAAAAACTTGAATAGCCCTCGTCTGCCATCCATCTGGAGCCGAAGTGAATGCCTAAATATCTGTGGCTGCGAGCATCTAGCACTCCGCACGAAAGAGGTTAGGCAATTCTATCGTAATACTGGCCGCCTTCTTGATTCTTCCAGTATTTAGTCAGGATTTCTTCCCAGATCGTAGCTGGAAGATCAAAGCTCACATCCGGAGGAGCCTCATAAGCATATCCAAGTATGAACCATACAAGATCACATCGACAGAGTGCAATTGCGTATGCTTCTTAAGAAAACGGACTGCATTTACTGGCTTCATGGAGCTTAGTATTGCGGAAAAATTGCGGACAAATGTAAGAGTCCTATCAGCTCTGGGGCCACTTGAGATCTGTTCTTATTCTTCGAAAGCTGGACCGAATCTCCTCACCGTGCCGTGCATGGACTCACCCTCGCCGTCGTGTCCGTGTCATGCTCCCGGGGATCTCGCAATTCTCCTTACCGCAGCATTTGACGACAGGCACAATCATGCTCGACATTCCGGTCGGAAAGTGCAAAAAAATCTGGATATCACCTCCAATATGACGAACTATCCGTCGCGCTCAAAGCGGGACAAGAGGTCAAAAGCGACACTAGAATTCACGAGCTCGGCATTTGGATCCTTCGTGTGATCCCTGAGGTCACGTCAGTCGCGGATGGAGGCCCGAGCGAAGTGCATTGGAGGGTGAATCTCCTGGAGCTGCTCGCCAGCTGCATGATCATGATCGGGAAGTTCTGTTAGACCAGGACTATTGTTTCTCAGGTGACCGCTCAGTTCGTACATTCGGAGGCTGCTATTCACGAATCCTCTCACATGCCGAGACGATGTTCCCTAACATGAGACCTATCATGAGATTTGCAGACGAATTTTCAGAGTCCTCAGCGGTCAGTGAGTCCAGTGAGGGGGACTGCAGATTTGAAGGGAGCCACTGTGGCCTTTTTGGGAACGAAAATACTGAAGTACAGTGGAGTCTAATTGTTGCAGAATGTTGGGATTGTGCGAACCATCGCCCACGCCGAAAATAATTGCCCAGAATCGAATCCAAATCTTAGGAGCATTTTGCATTCTTTGCTTGTCGTGCACGTTGAGTTTTCTTTGGCTCGGGCCGTGATCACGTCATCTGGCTTAGCGTGAAGATCACTCGGCTTGCATATGAATCCAACGATAGATGTGGCGAACACGAACAGACACACATGTACTATGGATCATTGGGTTTCTTTACCCTTAGGCAAGACAATCCTCCGACCTCGTATTCGTTATCTGCTACTGTAAGCGCTCGACAGAGAGAAGCATGATCTTGGATCTCAAGTCAGATCTCATTGGATATGATGAAGCCACGAACCTTCTTTCAGAATCAGTCCAATGAAGTCAGACCATAATGTCTGGTTTAGTTCATGGCAACAGCACAGTGCGTAACACTCTGCGCTTGCACCAAATTGTTGAAACGAGCTCGACGTCAACCTTTCCCCGCATGGTCCGAGCGGTCGGTGAGACATCTAGAAATGTAGTGCGAGTGTGGTTGTGGATAGAGCCGAACAAGAGCTTCGACCGAACGTCCAGGATCGTTGGCAGTTCCTCATGTCTCGTCGACTAGAAACTGGGACCACTGGGATCCCGACTCAACTGAAAGATTCTGAGCCTCAGCTCGTACTACTGAAACGTATATACACCAAAAGGCTACGAAACGTGATATATACTTGAGACGTGATGCCCACCTAGGCCTGAGTGTTAAGAGCATGGAGTGAATGGGAACAACCGATTCTGCTGTATTCGATCGAAGTAATGGGCTTACACGCTTCGGAGCTTCGGACAAATGTGACATGTGCATGCAGTGCGTGTAAGATTCCGATGTTAGTAGGTCTGAGGGCTACTCATGTAGACCACAGTTTGCAACATAGATGTTTGAGGCTGCAACAGAATCCAATTAGTTGACTTGTGATGCATGTCATGTGAGAGTCGAAGGCACATCTTGCATGATTATTTGATCACTTGGGTTTAACATGTTCACCGAGGTCGTGACCAGGTCCAAGTTGTGACCAAGTCAGGGTGGTAAATACGAGAATCGTCTCTAGGTATATACATGCATTGTGATCGATTATCTTACTGATGACCTGCCTACAGGAGAGGAATGCATGCTACGGACTCGGCCATCGGGGATCAAGGATTTGAACGAGTATTCGCCCAGTGACAGTAAAAAATTTCCGACAGTTCAAAACTTGAGAATTCTTGCAACATGTCTTTAATCGAAAGAGAGGGTGGAGGCTGATGACATTGACTCTTGACAGGAACCTCTTGTTGCAAAATGTACTAACATGGCAACATTTAGAGTGATGGAAAACGCGCTTTCCTGGAGAGGTTCTGACAAACCATGACGGATGTTCCGAAACGAAGGCAAACGAGCACGACCTTCGATTTCTGCGTCGAGAAGAAGTTGCTCGCCAGACGGCCTCGGTTTTGACCTAGCACCGTGCAGGACAACTCGGAGCCCCGGTCTTGACTTTATTAATGTCGCCCAGAGCGAGCAACTCAGCCCCCGACACCCCGCCGAATCTTTCCAGTCCTGTCTGAACCACTGTAAAGTCAAGCTCTGAATTCCCGTTACTCCTGAAGTACAAGCTCTCTCGGCTCATTCGGCTCCCCGCAGCCAGCTCTCAGAGAATCCCAACAGAAACGATTTTCGACGGAAGTTGGATCAGTTGTACAACCGGCCTCGATAATGACGCCCCTGGTGATCGCCCACAAGCTCGTAAGCAACCCTAGGTCTTATCGCGTCCGACACAATTGTGAGCACATGCCCCCAAAAGAGCACCAACTATAAAAATGCGCCAGCAGTTACTGCGCCCATCTCAGCCCGTGGGTTACTACCAATCCAATACAAACCCGTCCGTCTGGAAAAGCTAAAGTGTAAAATAAAATATGCTCGAATACGGGCAGCAAAAAGTGTTGGGGGATGAGTTTGCCCGCTCCTCATGCCGAGCACGGGATGAGAGTTGATCGGGCACGACCTCATCACTGGGTACATCCGAAACCACAACTGGACTTCAGACGCACAAATTCAAAAACTCTTATCTGCACCAGAGGATCGATCCAGAGGAGTGTGTAGAGAACCTACAAGTTTGAGGCTAGAGAAAGAAATCATAGCATTACTGGTCACCTGTTTAATATTCGTGTCGTGATTCATAGAGCTCAGTTAAGCCGGGTGAGCATGTAAGGGTCACAACTTGAGGCTCATGAAGGTGAGAACGAGGGCCCGGAGCCATGGGTTAGCTAGCGCTGCTGCCGCTAGGACAAAGCTGGGCTGTTTGGTCCGATCCGGAAAGTGCATGACTAAAATTCTGCAGCAGCTTATCTCGAGCGGACGAGGGTGTTCCGACTGGTACGTAACCACAAGCTTAAAGTGCACGGCTTTCGACACAAGATGTGGGCAGCCGGTGAGTTGGCTGTGACCTAAGCATGATTGAAAGTGGAACATTTGCACTCGGGGTACGGATGGTTAAACCGGAGGCCTAGGGCCACTCCCGGTATATGCACAATGCACCGAGGCACAGCCTCAGACTGTTATCTTGCCCTTATCAGTTGGTGTTCTGGATCTTCTCCTCGAGGAGAAAAACTTGCATGCAGAGAGAATACCTTTTGTGCCGACTCAAGACAGACTGCTTGGTCGGTCCCGGTGGAGTTTATCTCGGTTGGATCATTGCTGAGAAACTAGGCAACTCTGCCGCTGCAGCTGGACGCAGCATATGTCCGAACTAGCCTGTCGGTGCTGACTTCATACCCTCGCCAGATTAGGCTTCGTGTGGGCAGCGCACAGACGGGTTCTGCTTCTACCGCAGCTCGTACTTATCAGGATTGGATTTCCACTTAACTTATTTGATCACATTTGTCATCATGGTCGTCAGGCGATATGAGTGCGCAACTCACCTATACACAGTTACCGATTATGCCTTTCGATCTGCTGACACACGTCGGCTAATCAGTTGGACGTAGAACCCCTCTGGTCATATGCCATATCCCAATCATTCTTTCATAAGTATTATAATCAGAGCTTTCAGTTGTGATTCTTCTTTGCTGCAGGTCGGGAAAGGGCGTCCGGATGGCGACAAGAGCACGAGGTCGATCGACGAGGGCAAGGACGAGGAGGCGTGATGGGAAGGGAGCATGACAAGAACGATCCACTCTTCGGGGGTTTTAGCATTCCTCTGTCCTTTGTGTCCACTACAAAGCCCAAGGGGTCAGCATTCCAGTTTGGGAGCGAGGTTTGATGAGTCAAAGTCACGAGACTAAATCAGTTACTGGAGCTTTGAGCCAGTCTGCTAAATTTATAACACAATCAGCCTGTGTGAACAGGCGAATGAATGAATCTGAAGCACCTATTTAACGCTGCAGCTACAACTTCGGTCCAGGATCATTTTAAACAAGCTGAACACCACTGTCGATGAATCTCTTCGCATTGGCTTTCTACCCAATCGGTTTCCATGCTGTACATGTGCGCTGAAAGCTCTATCTCAAATTAGTTGACTTCTCCGTCTCTGATTTTCCGATGCCATCGAGAGGCCAGTGTGTGAGCGGACGATTCGCGGAATGGCCCTTATCTAGTCCGTCAATGGCAAAATTGCGCGACCCCTCCTCGATCTAGTAACTAATTAAGCATCTATGGACGAATGTTCCCGACGAGGATGCTGCAGTCCTACTACAGGTGCGGTGAGGCTCTTATGGCAAGAGCTCGGTGGGATCTAAAACCACGGCTTTAGTCGTAGCGTCGCTACTTCCGAGCCTAGGGGTAGAACATCGGGACGAGCATCGTCATCATCATGAAGTTCTCGTGTCTGGGAGTTGAATCGTGCCTCGAGCTGAGAGTGCTGCCGAGGTCGGAGGGACATTCTGGCTCGAGTGCTGTTATTGGTGCCATTCGTGGGACCCGGTCGGACGGCGAATGGGACGAACGGCATGACGCGGTCGAGCTGCCTCGGAATGCTCTCCACTCCGAGACTCCCGAGATGCGAACGTGAAAGCCGCAAAGAATGAACGCTCCACGGCGCATTCATTCATCGTCGAGCTCCAGCTCTGCTTCTTCTTCTTGGTGTTAAAGGTCGCATACGCGTGCGTGTTCCAGCGGCGGCGACTTCTGCAGACCCGTGGCAGATCTCTACATGAACATGGTCTCGCAGCTCGAGAATCGTTCCTCGTGAAACAGATGCCAGCGATTCGGCTGATTCTCGCTCAAAAGCCTCGAGTGAACGCCAGAACGGCAGAACACTCGAGCCTAGCTTGTCTGGCTCGCCGGAGCTGCACACGCACTCCCTGCCGCATGTGATCCTTGGCTGCAAGGATCCACCGGACGATGGGCCGATACGAATTGAAGAATGAGGTCGCTTTCGAGCTCCCAAGCGTCTACATGAGATCCTTCTCCAGCTCGATCGAGCGTCGGATCTCGAGCAAATCATTGTCGGACAGCAACATGTCACCGAAAATTACTTCATTTCCGAGCACCATGCTGGTCGGCTGGCCGATGCCGTCCCTCTTGACCCAACGCTTCACCTCCGCGACGGAGGTCCTCACATTTCTCTGCTCCATGGCCTGCAGGCCTTCGTCGGCAGGCCAGGGCTCCACCACCTTCCTGTCCAGCCGCACCCCGGGGCAGCACCGAGCGCTGATCTGAACCATCATCTTCACCAGGGCATGAGCCAGATTCACTTGCCCCCGCCTGTTGGCTACTCTGAGCAAGGGCCTTACCAAAACGTCCAGCCGATTCGTGGGATCCGCGTCGTACTCCACCATCACCGCCATCCCCTTGTGCTTGAACGTGATCAAATTCCTGCCGGCCGCGAACTGACTGTCACTGCGCCCTCCGAAGTCCACATTCCTGGCCAGCTCCACCTGCAGCTGACGGAAAATCGTGATGGGCAGCAGACTCGTCTCGCTGTCGGCCACGGCCAGCGCAAAGCCCATCACCCACTGGTCCGCAATCCGGAGCTGCCAGTACGAGGGGATCGCATCGGTCTCCATCAGAGCGGGGATGAAGATGTCGTCGGCCCCGATTTTGTACGCCAGGCCCAGACGCAAAAGCATGGCCACCACCTCGCGCACCTGCAGCTCGTCGCTCAGCTGCCGAGGCAGGTACGCTTGCAGAGCGGCCAGCGACACGGACCCGTCGGCCCGCATCTGCAGCCGCAGCGAGGTCTCGCCCGGCCGCAGCATGGCGTCCGGCAGCAGCACATTGCCTACGATGCTCCGGCAGAACCAGTCCGTGTCGAGGATCACGTAGCTCTCGTGCGCCAGGCCGCCCTCCTGCAGAGCTCCCTCGCGGAAGAAAATCAGCTGCCCCGCCTCGTGCAGATACTCCGTAGCCAGTCGGAGCTTGTGCTGCGGGAACACGCCGCCGGCCAGCGTCGAGAAGTACTCCTTCCACTCGAGCACCGGGTACTGGCGATGGCCCTTGAGCCACTGGGCGATCCACTTCTGCAGCTCCAGGCACATCTTGGGCATTCTCCGCGTCCGCAGAAGGTCGTCGGCCATCTTCACCAGGCGCTTCTTGAAGTGGCGCACCTCCTTGCGGTACATGGCGTTGAGGATGAAAGGCTCCGAGTGCAGGACCACGCTCTGGTCGAATTTCTTGCCGCACACTTGCAGAATGTGCGTCCAGTCGTCCAGCGGGTGGCACGAATGGTCGCCCTCGAACGAGTTCAGCACCACGAAGACATGGCGCTTGCTGTCCGGGGCTCCGCCGGCGTCGGAGCTCGACGACGAAATGAACCGCATCCAGTACTCGATCTCCTTCTGGGCCTTGGCCACGTCCTTGCGCCCCGAGTAATTGGCACTGCACACGATGACGAAGATGGTCGCCTGCCCCTCGCCCAGGCCCAAATCCGGCAGGAACGCGCTGTGCAGCAGGTGGTACTCGGGCTGCCCCGCCAGGTCCCAGACGCCCAGTACCAAATTCTTGTGCACGATCTCGCTGACCTCGATTCCTCGCGTGCGCTCCTCGGCTCGGTTGCGCTCCGTGCTCGTGAGCGACTCCCAGTGCGTGCGGCACAGCGATTTTCTCAGCGTGGTCTTGCCGACTTTGGGCGGCCCGCACAGAAACACTTTGGCGTGAGTGGCGGCCACATCGGGCTCGCTCCGCAGCAGCTTCAGGCTGCGCTTCCTCAAGCGGACATTGCGCCACCGGAAGCCCTCGGCATTGTTGCGCATGGACTCGTTGGCCCAGCGCACCTTGATGGTGGCGTACAGAAAATGGTTGTTTCTGTAGGCTCGGACCAGCGCCTCGGCGCACGCGTCGGAAATGTGGCCCGAGTCCTGACCCTCCATGGACAGGCGCAGCAGGGTTGGAAGATGGCCGGCCTCCAGCAGCGCGGCCATCTCCAGCAGCCCCGGCTCGCCCATACAAACATGGTCCAGGGCCAGCTCCTGCAGCGAGTTCAGATTCTTCGACTTGAACGCTCGGAACAATTCCGGCAGCCCGCCGTCCCTCAGGGATTTGCACGACGACAGGTCCAGCTTGGTCAGCGTGGCGAACTTGGCCGAGACCAGCGCCCTGGCGATGGCCCGGGCGCCGCCGAGCCCGACCTCGCACTCGTACAGCTTCAGCGACTTGAACCCCTTGGAGATTAGCGCCGACTCCAGAGCTCGGAAGATGGCGATCACCGCGGCCTGCTCGACGATCCCCCAGAGCTCCAGGTGCTCGAGCAGAGGAATTTTCCCCGACTGGAACGCGCGGCCCAGAGCTTCGGCGCCCTGGAAGATATGCAAGCCCTTGCTGCGAGCTCGAGAGACGTGCGCAAAAAATCCGAGGCCCAGGGTTTTGAGCGCCGGAGCATGCCCGGCCTCCAGGGCGGCGGACAGCTCGATCAGCCCCAGGTCGCCGATGTTGTCCAGGACTTTGAGAGTCTGGAGGCCGGCAGAATGTCCTGCAGAGATCGCTGCAGCGAGAGCCTTGGCAGCCGCAGCACCCACACTGGTGTTGAACAGCTCCAGGACGCGCAAGTTCGACAGGTTTCCCATCTCGATTGCCCTGAAAATCTCCATGATCGCCCTGCCCTGGTTCGGGTCCCCGAGCCCGCTCCGAATCGAGAAGAGCTTCACGGTCTCGAGCTTGGGCAGAGCGCGCTGCTGGAGCGCTCTGCCCAGGGCGCCGACTCGATCGTTGCTCATGTTGGAGATCTCCAGATCCAGCTCGGTCACCAGGTCCAGCTCCTCCATCAGCCGATCCTCCACGTCCTTTTCCAATTCCGGGTTCCAGCTTTCCAGTAAATCTTGCACGACGTTGACGGATGCGGCCAGCAGCTGCTGGATTTCCTCGGGATCCACCAGCATGCACGCCTTGTACTCCTTTTCCGAATTCGCGCTGCACCCCTCCTGGAACAAGTTGGCGGACAGAGCGAGGATTTCCTGTGGCATGTCCTCGGGGTCATGAGCTGACCACGAAGCTCGTATGAGCGTGTCCGAGTCCTGCGTTCGGCCCTCGGGGTCCACGCTCAATCTCAGTTCCGGATTCTCTCCTCGCCCCCTCTCGAAATCATCCTCCAGAACGATGGACGTTCTGTGGCTCTCCAGGTCGTCGTCGTCGTCCTCGTCCTCGCGGTGCCGGTCCTGGCCCTCTCTATCTTCGGGATCCAGACGACAATCTTGAATTTCCTTCATCTCCAATTCGAGAATCATCTGATTCTCGAAATTGTCCTCGAACATCGTTATCGAGGACGAAGCCGCCTCCATGTTTAATCTTTAATGGGGGCGGGCTCGAGAGAAATCAGGTGCTGCACCCGTGAACGGAATTCGGACCATTCAGGAGTCGCGAATCAGCTCTGAGGATTCTGCATCCTGTGCGGGCCGGAGGTGGGATCTGTGGGAATAATGGGAATCTGGAGAAGGGAGAAGAGGGAATTCGCGACCGTCGGAGATTGAATTGATTGAATCGGGCATTCAATCAATTCAATCTAGCCCGCGGCAAGACCAGACGCAGAACGGAAGGTGGACCGAACCCAGGACATTGATGGCCTCTTTAACACGGACTACTCGCGTGTGGCGACAAGAAATCCTTGACTGCGATCGCAGGACGAGTGCAAATCTGCATGTGGAAACACGAGCAGAGAGATCTAAGAAGGAGGGAGGCGCAGCGCAGATGGATCGATCCATCCACGCTCGCCTCAACCTAATGTCCTAGAGCTCCTGTGCACATTCATGGCCCTCCACTTGCACTGCTCTGCACTGCACTCCCATCCCATCCCCTCCCCTCCCCTCCCCTCCCCCTCCCCTTCCCTTCCTCGCCCTCCCCTTCGCTTCATACTTAAGCCTGGTGCTACTGCTGCCGCTGCTGCTCTTCCTGAATCTGATCTGTTGAAAGTGTTTCCGCACGACTTGGTGACCAGGAAATTGACTTTTGCCAGTGTGTCCAAAGGAAAAGGGTTCAGTTTTCTATGCTTTTCGCAGCTCCTGTTTTTGACTTTTTTATTCCTCCCGCGGTCCGCCCATTTCCCTCGCCATGTACAGCGAAATTAGAAACGAGTAAATACGTTCATACATATTTATATGAATGAATAATTAATCCGGGCCTTGGGCATGCTCATTCGCCGCGAGAGTCTGGGTTGGAGGGAGGAAGATTCCACACTCCTTCGCAAGTCCGGTCCACCTAATTGTGGGTGTTTGACCTCATCTGGCCTATGGCCGCGAGTATAAGCAAGGGAATGGGCCGCATCGTATAAGGCGCATTGTTAATTGGCCCGCTTGGGTCCCCGCAGATGCGCCCCGGCGCCCTCAGGGCTGGGGTACGGGGTTAGATGTCCATGCCTGGGTTGCGCAGGGAGGGAGGGAGGGGGGCACAGGGGCTTGTAGCCCGGCATCTTGTGCCTGCCATGATGCCCTCGAGGGTCGAAGGGCACATTACACCTGCCACGGATTCCTCCTCTCGCTTGCGCCTGCCTCGTTTGTCAACCATCGGCTGCGGTCCTTTTGCGTCGTACCTTCGTCAATGTGGTTGCGTCGCGCTTTTATTCCGTGCGTCTGCCTTTTGCCTTGGGAGCCCCGCATCGTCGCTCGCTGATCATGCATCGACGAAATAGATTATGTGGTAAGCCATGGATGGGCCTGCGGCGGTTGACAAACTACGCCTCCTCGATAGGATCAAGAGCAGGCGGATGGATGCTCTCGCCTCCCTCCTTCCCACCTTCCCTCCTTCCCTCGCTCACTCCAGAGCACGGACGGATGGAGCGATTCTCAGGTTACGAATGCGATCACAGAACCACGATTGCTCGCTTGCTTGCACATGCGGCTGAACCCCGAAACAGGTGCCTGGGCGCAAGTGGTCGACGGATAATTTTACCTCGTAGCACAGGAATCTTCTCACGGGTCTGTAGTCGCACATGTCACTAGTCGGCAGACCGGACCGTGGGGACACGATTCCACAGTTGCGAGTGAAGGGGCCGGGCCGCACGAAACAGTGCTCGTCACTTGTAGAGATCAGGAACACGTCTTCGGTTGCTTGTTTGTGAAAGCTTGTAGTAAAGGAAGACGACAATCATGGGGTGTCGAGTGCGCTCCTCCTCGGCAGAGTTTTTACGAGGGCAAATCTCGCAGTGCGGACATTCTTGACTAATAAAATCTCATGTTCCCGGATCCCACGATCTTCAGCTCCGGCTAACCATATGCATGACCACCAGCACGGCCGCTGCGCTCGGGTCTCTCATGCTCTTGTATACAGCTCGGGTCTCGGCTCGGCTCTGCTCGCTGAGCAGCCGGCGAGCCTGCCTGCCACGCCCGCCCTGCCTGCCTGCCCTGGCATTGATGCTGCTCGTCCAACGACCTTAGCTGCGCCTCCGACTGTTCCTGTAACGCTGGTCCGGACTACTGCTCGGCCAGAGCGTCGAAGCCGTCTCGCTTTCCCTGTTGCAGCAGCAAAGTCGGACACTTCTCCACCTCTTGAATCTGAGCTGCAATCGGCGAGTAGCTCCTGCTCTTCGCAACCCTTGTTTAAAATGTGCGCTTTGCACCATCATACGTCGCGCCAGTCGTGAACTGCTTGCTAGCTGGAATCATTGTTATGTCGACATTGGCGATTCTCGTCTTCCCAGGCTCTGTTTCCGCCAGATATTAAAGCTCGAAGGCTGCTTCGTGTTCCGGGGCTGGCTGTCTTGACTTCTTGTCACTCTCGGGTCCTTCTCCGCCTCTCCAGTTCATACAGTTCGTCTTACTTCTGGTTTACAGAGTGGAAGATCTCAGTTTACAGAGTGGAAGGTGACGTAGCTCGAAGCAATTTTTTTCACTAGGCTGGAAGTTTGGTTGAAGCCAAGCAGCAAGGCTGTTTCTTCTCGAGCAATTTTTTTCACTAAGCTGGAAGTTTGGTTGAAGCCAGCAGCAAGTCTGTTTCTTCTCGAGACTTCTGGGTATTACCGATCCAGAACATTCTGAGATGAAATCAGAATTTTCTTTCGAGCATTCGAGCATTCGAGCTTCTTTTGCTCCGATTTATCCTCGAAGTCGGTATAAGTGACTCTGTCCTCAACTGGTGATCTATCCTCTTAAGCTCGAGAATTTATCTTCAGGTGTAAAGAAAGCATTCCACGCGTAAAACAAGATTCAGTCCTGTGCTTCTGAGAACCTTGTCTTAATCTCCTTATCCTCCCGGGACCATGGCTGGACAATTTTGTTGTTAAACGTGTATAATCTAGTGATTGCTACTGGAGCTTCTGATGCTTAGAAGGGACGGTGCTCTTCATCCCTCTTCCTCTTTATAGATCTCAAAGGTAAAACATGAATACGGATAAATGTGATATGAACCCAATTATACGAGCTGTGGATCATCGCTGTAGAATGCGCGGTCGCTTTGTCCCCCTTCCCCTGTGTGGTCCCCAAAGGTGAAACATGAACACTGATCAATATGGTCTGAGCCGAATTATGCAATCTCTGCATCATCGTCTTGCTGCACCATTGTCGTCGGTGGACAGGACGTTCCGTAAATCAGTGGAAAACTCCCGTGACTGCTGCATTTCATTCCTCTTCCACGATCTCTTAACTGCGTGTAAGCACGACCAAGTTTCAAAAACACCAGAATATGAGCACGGAAGCGAATGTTCCCAAGCTAACAGAATGTAGCCGGTCATTGTAATAGCAGATATGTGTAAGTCTTTGTTTACAGTTAAACCATAAGAACACATGTTACCCACCAGAGTCTTGCTCTGAAACTCCGTTGGCGTCATGGGGATGAATGCCTCCATCTTGAACACTTTTAATACTGATTGTGTTCACTTCTGAGCGTTTGAGTATATTTAGGAATAGCTACACACCCCATGATTGCGAAATATGTAGAAAAAGACTGACACACCGAAGATGAAGGAGACGGGGCCGCAGAGTTTCGATTACCAAAGGTGAATTCCGCCGTGCTCATGTGGTAGGGTTCAGGGAAAAACTAACAGCAGTTCTGTAATAAATGAAGCAGAAGCGACTACCAGGGACCAGAGATCTCTGCAAGCACGTGTTGCAAAGGTACAGCAAGGAATCTGGAATTAGAAAGAACCCTTGCATTGTGTAAATTAACAACTGAATTCGTAGTGCGTGCGGAAAGAGTTTACAGCACCACTGCGAAAGGTAGATGCAGGTAAATCTTCGGTTACTACTCATCTTCCCACCTCCACTGAGACAGTCCCTTCCATTGGTGGGTGGATCATAACCTCATCGTCCTCCGATTCTTAACCTGACGATAGTGTTGTCTCTCGAGCCGTCAAGCGAGACATCAGTCCGCTGACAGCCCCAGATCGTATCTCGGAGCGCCTCTACACAATCAATCTGCTACATGTACGGAAAAAGGAAGCAATGGTTTTCCCCAGTATTATTGTACTGCTGTTGGGGATCTGCTTAGAACCTTTGCAGGTACGTACCAACACTACAGTACAGCAGTCTTCCGCCATCACTCGGTGCAAGTTGGTGAGTTGAGTGCCATTCCACCAGCAGCTGATCTCTGAGACACTGATCAGTTGTTGCCTTCATACACTTATGCCCGACACAGAGCGCAAGATGAAGTTACGTCCGGCCAGTCTAGTCTTGTCTCCTCGGCTTCAGCTCGACAAAGACAAGAAGTTACTCTAGAGTGAATTCTGTTGCGATCTCGCCTCCACATTTTAAATTACGATGATTCTGCGGAAGGTGAAGGCGCTTCAGCCGAAGTCTTAGGCGACTTTGCGGTGAGGTTTTGGGCTTGTGTCGTTTACGGCTCGAGTTCCCGTTTGTGTGCGTGGTTATGCGAATGCTTGCGCCCGAAATTAGACTGCCATCCCCGAGAGCTACGAGCACGCCTCGTCTCTGGGCTGTCCAGAGCTGGCCAGTCGCTGACGACCACCAACCAACCAACCAACCGGATCGTGAAATCGCAGAGCGATGCTCGAGCGCATGCCCTTCGTCTGAGACGTGACCTTCGTTTCTACAACTTTCCTTCGTTAGCTTTTCGCAGGGCAACGTTTCCTCGATCCAGTGAACCGTCTCAAGGATGGACAAGTGGCGTTCTCCCAGAAGGACAGGTGGCCTCTGACTCATGGGCGTCACACTTGGCTGATGGATCAGTCCGACTGGCGGTCCACGCCTCCGAGACTTTGTTTAAGCTCAGCTGCCCGACTTGAACTTGAGATGAAGCTCTGAAGCGCCGGCTGCCACCAAGCCGCCCGTCACTCGCATCACGGGCATCGTGGCGTCATGGTAACGAAGTCTCCTGCAGTTTCCATCGGATTAGTTTTTCAAAGCGAATGCCTCGTGCTCACTAATGCTCTCCGTGTGGCACATAATCCTGTAAGAGATTTGTCAGCACCGCAAGCAAAGGAAGGGAAGCAGATTCATTTGACGTGTAAAGATGTACACTTTTCTGACGGCTACCACTTCGATATTCTTGAGAAATATCCTAGCTCGGGCCTAGACACAAACAGTCAGAATATGGAGAACAATAATCACCCGATCCAAGGCATGAAAGGATCATAGGAATTCGTACAAGAAAGGCCGACAGCGTTGATTAAAATCCCGAGCTCAAAGGCAAGGAAAGAGGAAAGCGATACTCCCTCTTCTGATAAAAATGTTACCGCTTGATTAGAAGGTATACCAAACCGTGTATTTCTTCGCGAGATCCATCCGAGGATTTTTGGTCTCTAACATACACTTTGGCAGTATTCTTATATCTTGTTATGTACAACCAATGCAAAGTACACAGTAAATGCTCATGGCTAGGGGAGAAAGGATTGGCTATGTTTTGTAGTTTATGTTATCCATCAAGATATTTAAGAGGAGCGAGTAAGAGAGGAAAGAGTATGAAAGGACCCCATTCGAGTTGCATAAGGATGAAACCAGAGGGGTAGGAAGTGTATAGACCCCAATAGCATGACAACGAGAAATGTGTCCTGCTCCAACTAATATATATAATATTTCTCGATTGTATAGTCTACACTGTTACTTGAATATCATAAGTATCATCGACTAACATGATTTCTTTAGTATGAATTGCACCAACTCATGTTGCTTGTAGAAAATGGATGAGTGTTACAAGAGAAGTATCAACTAACATGTATATCTCATGTGGATTGCATTTATAATAAGATTTTAGTACTACATATTCCTAATTTCTACTCAATAAGACTGTAGAAACTTAGATGATATAAGAAACGAAATGTTTCAAGTTGATATTGAATTGATTATTCGAGAAGATAAACCAAGAAGGTTCAAGACGATCCACAAACCCTGATGTAAAGTTTCTTTGTGTGCACAACGTAAAGCCAATGTGAAGAGTTATATGTTTTTACAAATCAGTAAAATAAATAATGCTTATGGAGTCAGGAAACATAAGCAACATGGGAGATTTTATTCCAACCAAAATGAATGGTAGAGTACTCAAATCAAACCTTCTTCAATAAAAAACATCAAGAGGAGTAGGCAAATTAGGTAGGTAGTTGAAACAATGCTACAATTATTAAAAATATGAACATACTGCAATGAAGTTTTTCAAGCCCGAGTTTCGTAGACCTCCGGTAGACCTCCAAAAGGATGCTCACGAGGTCTCCTTTTATAAATCTAACATGACATATGACAATTTGCAAATTAACAATCATCCGATCCTTGTTTCACAAACTATCAATTTGATTGAAAGGAGGAAAAGTGGGAATAGAAGGAAACGGGATGAATGTCTTCTATAAGAAAGAATATTGTTTCAGTTTGACAGATGAAAAATAAACATGACTAAATTAGAGAATGTTGATAGAGTCACGAGCTTAATAAAACTTGTTATCTGCATCTCTTTCTGCAAAGTAGGGATTGGCTAGAAAAAGATGCAAACGAGGACATAATCTGGCCAAATGCACAAATAGAGAGCATTAAAGCGTAGGTTGACGTATTGAACCAAACTAATCTCTAGAATATAAATCTCCATTTTCGTTTTCGCTCTGCGCCTACCCCCGACATAATGTGTGGGGTTCTGGATCTCGCTTCCACGAACTATACTACTACATTGTGACAACTTTGCTTTCTGGTTAGGAAATGTATCTTTACATCGTATTACTCTTTTCATTTACTATTTTACCTTCTTAGAACCAACTAATCCATTCAAGCGAGAATCAACTAGATGTCATGAAGCGCTCATTGTTATGGCAAGATCATCTCTAAAAATAAGAATTTGAAGATTACATGACACAAGGAATTATTAAAGTGAAAAGAGATTTGACAAGCTCACTACGATACTTTTTTTTTAGATGACTTGGATGGAAGGTAAAAAATTCTGAGGTGTACAGATGAAGAAAATCATAATCATTTCAGAGGATCTTTCGATATGAACGTGGTGATACGTCTATATTTTCAATATCACCTCTATATATGTTATGTAACATATAACATAAATATGTGTTTTTATATTAGAAATTGATGTAAATATTCGCTTTTATACATGAATAATAAACTCGCATCTTTTAAAAGAATTGGATGTTTTTTCCTTAACTCTAAAATAAGAAGAAAAAGGACAGAAAACGAAAGGAAACACCTTATCAAGAAATATTTTATTTATCATCCTTTATCAATATGCAATAACTAGAGTAATGCAAGTAAAAAAAGAAGGTTTGTTTGATTCAACTGTATATACAAAGCTAGTGTGTCGCAATAAGTAGCTTTAATTGTTGTTTTTGGAGAAACTATACGAATCTATGTGATTGTACGTGCATTCAATTTGAATAGGACAAGTAAATCATAATTATTTTAAAAAAAGAGTATAAATAAATCAAAAAATAGTGCTTAAGATATAGACAAGAATATATATATAAATAAACTAAAAATGAAAAATCTGAGTTTTTTGTTGTGTCAATTAATTAATCACTACACCTAGTACAAATACATATTCCTTTGAATGGTATTTATTTAATTTACTAAACTAATCTATCCACCTTTAAATTAGATAATAACTTGAATAGTTCATAGAAGATCATGAAACCATCTACAATAAAAATAATACTTATTGAACGTAATCTAGTTAGTTTCAAAAATTTCAAACATGAGTTTAATTTGATTGAATATAAATCAAAATAGATTAAATAGGTGATTTACATAGGGCAATCCGGTTATCAATACTAAGCTAAAAGTCATTCAAACCCTAGTGTTCAAAGTTTTGAGCTCAAAATTCTAATTTTCTATATTTTATCGGCTTTAATAGCTGAGGAGTTTCACAAATCTCTTATACTTGACTCATTCAACTCAAAAGATGGTATTTCAGGCTTTGAAATATGCGCTTTTACGTGCATCAGATTCTAAATGATAGGATACATGTAGAACGGCAAAACTTGTTTCAACTTCATTTTTAAGAGTAGAAAGAGTGTTATAACCACAAATATGACGATTTTTGACATCAAGTTTAGCTTGAAAAGAAAATTTTTGATGA